TGAGATATCTCAATAAATTACGTTGTTATGGGAAAAAAAATGAAATCAAAAGAAAAAATTATTGACAACACCTTCGAAAATAATGTAGCGCCTCATATTAGAGAAACTTGAAATTTTTAGAGCTACAATCTGAACATCTAAAAGCATATATACTTGTGCCGAAAAGGAAATGAAAAAAATTAAAGTCACAACATGTAATACACAACTCTTAACATAATGAATGGTTGATGCAATAACAAGTTTACATCTTGTTAGCCAATGTATAATTCGATCTACTTTTTATGAATGTGGTTATAGCTAACTCATCTTGATTGATTTAATATGTCTAAAGTATATAAGTTTAAGTGATATTATCATGAGGGAAGTAAATACGCCTTGTACTATTTTTCTTGACCAATATTTTGTTCCATTGGTTTTCATCTCAAAGTTTTCAATTAGACAACTTTTGTAATGTATTCAAAAGAATAATATATTATTTTTCCTTCATTAGGATTTTCTCAAATGAGATTTTAATGAAACATATTTTCTAAGTAATGAATATTCATGACCTACAAGACATTTACGTCAATATATATAATTTTATGATTTACTCTCTTGTAATTATACATTGTATACGAGACTTTCTAAGAGAGCAACAACAAAAATCATTTTTCAACGGAATGCATGTTGACTAATGTCAAACAATGGATAGATGAATATCTTGTAAGAAAATAACATTGCTTGGCACTATAACAAGATGACACGGAAAATAATTTATCAAAATTGTTTTGTACAAGTTTTCGAAAGATGGTAAATGAATACATTGACGTACAAGATATCAACGATTAGATATAAAGATTTTTATAAATTGAAATTAAGGGGATAGTTGTACTCTTTTTTTCTTTACTTAAAATTTTGTTCCAATGAATTTTTCTGACTAGATTTTAATAATATAACATTTTATCCAGAGACGGAGATAGGGGAGGTGGGCGGGGGGCGGGGGGCACATTGTCCGTTGGTCTACTATTTCTAGTTAATTTGTAATGTGTTTTTCAATTTTGCTCCCATAAAAATTTTGACTCACCTCCACAAAATTTTGAAATTTTTTTCCATTAATAAATATTGACCAAATAACTTACAGTTTAAAATTCAACCATACAAAAATTTTAGACCTAAATAAAAGATCCAATAGTTATTTAAATAAATAAATAGTCCAAATCCAATCCAAAAGCAAATGACCCATTTATGAATCAATCTACCATCTGTTATATAGATAAACAATTTACTTTTTGTCTTTTTTATGTCCATCTAACGTTCATGTTTTCAATTTGTATAGCGTTAGACACATAGATTAACATATTATTTTTGTATCGACAAATTGATTGTCTTTTGGGTCAGTTAATCTAACTTACCTATTTTGTTACTCAAAATCGTTGTTTTCAATCCTCTTAGTTAAAAAAATATATATATATTTCGGGGGCCGACCCCTGGAGGCCCCCCCCCTCCACCCCCCCGTATTTTCGTCCCCGCAAGATTAAAATCCTGGCTACGTTCCTGATTTTATCTGTGCAATTGTTTTAAAATTAATTGTACTCTTCTTTTTTTTTCCTTTGTTTGAATTTTTTTGTTAAACTAGATTTTTGAAGGACAACTATTTTGCAAATAGCTAGTTATCAAAGGGGAAACATATTTTGTGTGTATTTCGTAGGGATTTTTTGGGGGAAGAATTGATTTTGAATAGTGATATGATGGAAAATGTGTGGTTGAAAAATAAGATAAGATTATTGATGTGATTGAAAATATTATTTTATTGAAGAATGTGTGGTTGAAAATGAGAATTGATTTACTGTTGAAAATGAGAATTGGTACCAAACATAGTCTTAGTTTTATCATGGTCTTTAGATAAGTCAACTCTTACTTTTTCTAGAAAGTGTACTCTATTGAGATTGTAATTCATATTCAAATCTCTATGTAGTAATAATTGTTACATTGAAATACATACTTGAATTTTGAATCTATTAATTACATCTTTTAATCTTAATTTTGTAACAGTAACTAATATTTTTAATGAAAAAGACACTTTTTAACAGATGTTGGGACCAAAATGGTGAACGACACAACTTGTCTATTTTAGATGAACGAGTAACAGAAGTATGTCCTGCATTTTAATATACGTACCTAGTAGCTAGTTTTTTTTTTATTCTATTTAAATATATTCAGTTTAACGTACCAAATATATCTAAGAGCGAAGCCACAAGCGATGTTTTCAAATATATTTCTTGGAGTGATTAATTCAATTATTCAAGCATTCTTTAAATTGAAGGACAATATTTAGCTGGCAGATAAGCGTTGGAACCCAATAATTGAATGATTGACGTCGAGATATTAGGATTTCAAGAGTGCTTTTACGTACACATTTTTATTTTCTAAGCCAAACAATTTTTTCCTCGTTTATCATCCAATTCAAAATTTAAGAAAGTT